TTAGTAAAAAACCAGAGAATAAATCTTAAAACTGTTTTATGGATCTGGAGCACAAAAAAAAACCAAAACAGTTCCAATTTCTGAATATGGAAATAAAAAAGTGAAAAACCTGCTTTTTTCAGTCCTTCCAACCCTCATTTCCTTCAAATTGCCAGGGAATTGCCAGTAGAGAATCCATCTGCCTTAAGAGACAGGAAAACACGCTCTTTTTTCCTTTCCTGAGGCATTAGGACAGCTTCACCTGTACTGAGAGGTCTGCACCCCAATCTCACCAGGCCTTTCACTCGCTCTATGAGTGAAAGGTGCCCACTTCTCCTTGGTTTGGCACAGCAGTTGCCTTCTTCAGGAGTTTCAAATCCTGCCTACAGCTTGTTGAGTAGCTAGAAACCTCCAGCCGTGGCAGACTGCCTGCTTTTGATAGGCACATCACATGATGTTATTGACCAATATGGGGAGCAGAAACACACACCCTAAGATGAACCTAGTGCCAACTCTATTTAGCAACTAAGTTTGGCTTCCAGTGCAATTAACAGAGAAAGTAGAGCAGGGAGGGAAGAGAATTCATGTCAATACTGGATAACCAATAAATATAGGACCTGCTATGTTACCATAAATAAGTATATAATAACTTTATTAAATTCAAGACATGACAATTATCCAAAATACAAACTCAACATAATTCCTCAATACTGTACATCTGATATTTTTCAGTGCATTATTTCTATAACATGTAATTAATGTTGCCTTCATTTAGTTTGTACTAGAGCTTGTCAGCTTTCCTAAAATTTCAGAAAAATGTTCCCACTTAGAAGTTAGGTAAGTGTAAACAATTGGGTTTATGTTAAACCAAAGACCATGGACGGACCTTGGTCAGAGAGCACCTTTTGCCTTCTGGTTATTATAAAGTGTGCATGTGTCTCAGCAGGTGAAAAAGAAGGACAGATGGGATGAAAGACAGACCTTTGCACCCATCCCTCCATGGATCAGAAAGAATTAGAAAGGGAGAATCGGAGGGCTTGAGCCTCCCCCAGGGACCAAGTATGCTTTGTTCCCAAGGCTCGTGACCCACGACCAAGACCAGCTTGGGCCACGTTGCTTTCTATCCTCCCTGAGGAGAAGAAATTGGTCCCCTTTTCAAACAAAGATAGTGCCCTGCTTGGAATGCATCTTGTAATTTATGTGGCAACACAAACCCCTCTCCAGCTGCAGAAACACACAGCTGTTGATTCAGAGAAATCAGAGAAATCCTTCCGGGGGCTCATGATGAAGACAGTTGCCCTGCCAACCCAGCCTGACTGCCTGGATCAGGACTAAGTAGGTGCAAAGGTACACGGATGAGCTTGCAAAGTCGGGAAGTGGGTGGCCAACTCTGCCCTCTGCCGTGTTTTTCCCACAGGAGGGTCCTTCAGGCTGGGAGCAGCTCTGTCACCCCTTCCAGGAAGGGAAAAGAACATCCTGGAAGAAAAATAATTTAAAGGGCTACCTATCACCAAGCGGAAAGATATCTGTTAACACCAACAAAAATACTGAACTCTGCTGCTTAGCTTTCAGCTTAAGCCACTGGTCTTCTTAGCAAGACTGCAATTATTTTCTACTTAGGTGATTTCTACATATATATATATATATATATATATTACTCTAGAATATTCAGTAACTGGCCAACCTCAGCTGCGTATGCTTGTTCTTCTCCAAGTCGTCTCCTGCCCGTGCAAATGGGTGTTGGCAGCTGAGCCCAGAACGTTGCTACGGCTGCAGCCTGCCCAGGAGGCTCCAGCACAGGCCCTTCCCACCTTCCATCGGACATCCGGGGCAGCTAGGTCTCTGCACGTGTCCCTCGGAGAAGAGTTTGTCATCCTGGGGTTCAAAAGCTTTCCCACTTGCTATTCTCTGTGCCCTGCCATTACCGGTCCCTAGGGAGAAACCATGCAAGGCAAGTGTTTGCGTTTTACTAGTCCTCCCAGGTCAGCCTTGACTATCGTGGCGGTATCATTGCCTCGCTGCTGCCCCTCTGGCCTCAAGCCACTCTCTTCGGCTTCCTGGAAGAACATCTCGTATTTGTCCAGATAGGGAGGCCTCTCCGGCAACAGGTAGTAGTGAGTGGAGCTGACTTTCTTGCCGTTCTCAATGATGGGGAGGATGCAGGGCACCTTGTGGGAAGCACCTTCACTGTGCTGCCTCTGGAGAGCTTTGCTGCTGACATACTTGGGATCTGGGGCAAAACTCTGAGTTGGGGGCATGACTCCGTGGAGATAGGCCGGCAAGGTTTTGGGACTTGGCGTTCGAGAATTACTCCAGGACAGAGGTTCTCTTGGAGGCACCTTTGGAGGCTTGTCCTCATCACTGTAAGCACCGGAAGTCACTTCAGCCGACCACCTCCGATAATCTGGCTTGAGTGGCCGGGGAGGCAGAGGGACCCTGGGGGGAACTTCTGGTTTATCATCGTCGGAGCTGGGAGAAGACCGACAGACGTGGCTGGAGACCCTGACTGACGGCTTGTTGAAGGACCCAGCTGGCCCAGAATGTGAGCGGCGTAACCGCCGGTGCGACTGATGCGGTGGTGGTGGTGGAGGGCAGGCACCCTCTGGGCAGCCGCCCTGCTCTGGCTTCGCCTCTGCTGGAGCATCAAAGTAGGCGTAGTTAATCTGCCCACAGCCCCTGAAGCTTCGCCTACTCTGAGCAGAGAACTTAAAAGCAGGGCTACCACAGTTCTCCAGCAACAAGTCAGTATCTGAACTGGTCAGGAACTCAACTTCTCGGTCCACCTCATCATGCAGGAAGTTTTCGGCAATGGGCAGCGGGGGCAGAGGCCGGGCACCTCGCTCATTAGAAGACACGGGAGGGGGGAGAAGCGCCCCACTCTTCCCTGGGGTGTGAGGAGGCACCTCATCAGTGCTCCAGGGGTTCATGCTCAGGGAAAGTCCACTGAAGCCAGAAGTGAGGCTGTCTTCCGAGTTGGAAGGGATTGGCGGGCGAAGGAGAGAAGGGCTGGCTCTCAGAGGCAAGATGCAGCCATGACTGCGATCTGGATCAGGACAGGAGATCTGGCCTAGGAGGAAAGATAATTGCAATTAGCAATGACTCCAACAGGAGACTATTTCTTTAGCACAGAGTCAGTATCCTGTAGCCTGCATGCCACCCCAAAGCACCCTAAGATTGTATAGTCAGGGTCTGACTGGATCTCAGCAGCACAAAAAGGCATCAAAGATCTGGTCCCTTTGGGGCCTAATCTTCTTCAGAGCCATGTTGGCCGGATGGGAGGGGTAGAAAGAGCTGGACCCCTGCCCTCAGTCATGAAGGGCAAGAATGGCTGGAGAGGGTGCTCTCGGTGCCTGGGAAAGGCCAGAAGAACAGCTGAAGCCCGTCTGGTTCTGATCCGCAACAGGCTGTAACGGTGGATTCACACAGACGGACCACATCAGTTAAGATCTATTGGGTGAATCTAGATTTTCATTTTGTGGCTGAGAATATCATGTCCTCCAAGCCGGTTTGGTTACTTATGATTCAGTGTATTGTGTGAACCCCAAACATGGGTTTATTTCAATGACTGAGCTACACATATCGCGTGACCCCAGCTAAAGTGCCTAGTCATGGGTGTTTTACAGTCATAGAGAGATGCTCCAATACATACATGGTCCTTGCACTGACAAATTTACACAAATTACGATCATATAATTGTAATTAAGGAATTCTGGGCATCTTTGGAGTCCCTTGACTTAGTGTGACTCATAACATTTTATCACGAGAGGACAGGCTAAGACCAGAGGAATACAGCAGAATCCTCCTGCTATGGAGATAGATCTTCACCAGGGAGAAAGTTCTGCTGCCTCGACCCAATTTAAGGTCGAGGGGAGAAAAACAGCAACACGGACTCCCAAGGCCCTTTCGAGGAGAGCAGCTGACGACCAATCGGTTTGGGATGCATGGACGAAAACTAGCATTGGTGCATGTGCGCGAGAAAGACAATCTGGGTGGGCAAGGCAGAATGATACCGAGTGGGCTGGCTCTGGCCCATCGTTAGTTAGTGGCCATTGGGAACAGAGTTAAAATAATAAAATTGACAACTTTTCTGTGTACCTACCAATGGATGTTAAGGGATGGTGTCCTGAATTCAAATTGCAGGCCATCGCTACAGAGTCCATGTTGAAGAAAGGACTGGCAGAAAGAGGAGGGAAGGGAAACATTCATAAATGAAATGGAAAGCGCAAACAGTCCAGCCCCAAGAGCAATCATATATCTAAGACCCCTGCCTGCTGGCCCCCCTGCCTCCCCAGCACTCACTTTTCAAGCTGCCTATTGCGGCCACGGCAACAGGCCTCCAGGCTCCCATTACAGAGAAAGCCGGCGTTCAAGGAAAGGTTGACCTCCTGAGCTGCAATGCCTGTGGTGGACATGGCGCCCGGCCCAATTCACTGTCCCGTCACACTTTCAGAAGTCCATGGTCCTCGCCAAGGAACCGGCCACTTTCACTCCCTTGAAAGGAAGAAAGGTGGAGGTATAAGAATGTCACATAGCCAAGGTGAGAAGGGTGCATTTTCCAAGCCCTGGGCAGCAGTGGCTCCTTCCAAAGGAGTCATGAGGGATCCAAGGAGGATCTTGGACCGCCCCCCACCAACACTGACAGGGCGAGCTACTGTGTATAAGCAGAGAGCAACCCCCACTCCGTTCTAGCACTGAAGATGTTACCTAGTCGGGTAATGAAACGTCTGCAAGAAAACAGCCAAGCTCAGAGAACCCCACGGACTCCACAAAGGAGGATCTTGCTAACGTGGCAACTGTGCACTGCCAACCTGACTCCCCACCGAAAACTCATTTGCTGTTCGCTGACAGTCACAGGATGCAGCCAAGCAGGTGAGCCGCACCTCCCAAAGCAGGCGCTCAGCCTCCTGGCAACACAGACAACATGGGACCGAGAAGGGCTCAGCTACTCTGAATTATTCCTAAATTCCTGAACATTCTGGGATGGGTGCTTTGTTGCGAGTGCCAAAGCCCTTGCAAAGAACAAGCAGGGAAATTACCACCCCCGCACAGCCCCTCTGCCTCAAGACACCAGCAGTGTGGGGGTGGGTGTACAACCTGTTTCATCCTGCCAGTGAGGCTTGCACAGGTGTGTGCAAGCAGCTCCTGATCCCAGGCTGTGTGCAACTCCAACTAAGTTTGCACAGCCTCGCTGCAGGCCTTTTGTAGCCCCAGCTCCAGCCCGTACAAATGTCAGAAGAAGGATCCCAGAGAAATGCACTGGCACTCTGAGTCCAGATCAATATACTGCAACTCAGTAGTCAATAATGCATTAATTAATTTAAAGCTGGTGGATTCCTTGGGTTCACAGCACTGTTGATTTAGAAGCACAAGCATATATAAATAGGCCTTTTTCCTGGAATATGCTGAATATTCTCTTAGCTGACCACTAGTTTCTGCCCTGTAGGGAGCAAGCAGCGGGGGTGGGGACAAGACCAAGTGAAAGACGGCCAGATGAGGCTTCTTGTGGGCAGTTGAGGCGCCCTGGGGGTAGGTGGGAAGGTACCTGGCCCTCTCCTCTGGCCCTACGTGCAATGCCTGGTATGGTCACGCAGCACAAAGTCAAGCACGAGAGCCGCAGGGAAGATGGGAAAATGCGCACTCGCTCAAGACTCTCTCTGTAGTGGGAGACAGGAAACCAACACAAGGCCTCCCTCCAGGAGCTGCTTAACATGCAAGCTTGTAAAAGAAAAATTCTGCCATTTCCCAAAGGCTGCTGCAAAGCCAAAGCAAGCTGTTTGCTTCTCAGGGCTCCAACTGGACATTGGGAAAGCTTGAGGGGCGGCCCAGAAGTGACACTGCGTCATCCGGCACAGCACAACGGCTGGAGGAACTGTCTGGGCGGGCCGGGGCGGGCCGGACCAAGGGGCCGGATCCATTCGATCCCAGGGAAAGACACAGCTTTTTCAGGGGTTCCTGACAGATGCTCCGAATCCCCTTTTCCTCTTTGAATTCAGATGTCTGCACAGTAATCATCACCTCTGTCACCCCCACCATGCAATCCCCACAGGTACTTTACAAGAACAAGTTTGAGAAATCCTTTCCCAAATGGCAAGTCTTTTAAAAATAAAAAAGAGAGCACGAGAGAAACAGGGCAGGGCAGAGCAAAGGTGGTGACGCCCTGAGGCCAAGGGGAAGCTCCAGCTGAAGAGGGGGGCTTCAGAGAGGGATCTGGTGGAAACCCAGAGGTTAAGAAGCCCATCATAAAGGGCGGCCCGAGAGAAGGCAGATGAACAGCCAAGCAGAGAGAGGGACATTTGGGGTACCTTGTATGCAATCAACAATAAAGAGATGGAGCAAAGAGAGAATCTTGGACATCTTGAACTCAGAGGTGGTGGGGACTGGGTGGGGGTAGCAGCAAGGCTGATCAGGGAAGCAGACTGCCTACGGAAAGTGTACTAGGCACTCATGTGCAAAGCCAACAGTGAGAGGGAGACACTGGAACAAGACAGACGGGATATATGTGGGATTAGATCCATTATGGCTTCTAAATTGCAGCAGGATAATTTCAGGAAGTGGTCAGTCCTCTTCATGCAAGAAAGTGATGGCAGCCCCTTCTTCAGTACTGGGCACCACTGCCCGCTGGCAAATATTCCTTGCTCGGGCAAGGTATCTGAGAGGTCGATGACCACTGAGCCACAACTACGCATGGAAGAATCGTCTACTTTGTCTTCAGGCTTGGATACAGTACAGGAACAGCCTTAGCTGCCTAGATGGATGTCTTCTACCAAGGTCTCTACCAGAAACCTTGTTGATTCTCCTAGAAGTCAGTGGCCTTTGATGAAATTGATCACAATGTGGTCAGTTGGTTGGAAACTGAGACACGCTATGGTGGTCCCACTCTAATCTGCAAGACCACCACTGAGTGGACGTGGGAGATTTCAGCTTGGCCTGATGGCTCTTGAGTTTATTTATTACTGGTATTTCTATGCTGCTGTACTCCAAAACTGCTCCAAGCCACAGAGAGCTCCAAGAATGCCATTCTTTCTCCCCTGCTGTTCAGTAACTACATGGAGAAGCTGGGGAGGCTCACCTGGAGATCTGGAATTTGGTCTCAGCAGCATGTCACCACACCCACCTCCTTCCCTCCCCTGGAAACACTTGATAGGACCAAGCCTGAAGCTGAATTCATACAAAGCATAGGCTGTGAATGGGTGGCTCTCATGTCTAAGAATTACCTGATGAGGTAGCTCTCCCTCCAAAGAAACGTGCATAGCTTGGGGCTTCTCATTCAATGGCAAGAAAACCCATCTTTGGCTCTGGCTGGCATGCCAGTTATACCCTTATTGGGTTGAGACGGCCTAGTGTCAGTGATGACATCATAGTAACCTGTTGATTGGATTACAGCAAAGCACTCTACATGGGACGGCCCTTGAAGACAGCCCAGCCACTCCAACAAGGGCAGCCCCGACCAAGTGCAGTGGGCGAATGGGACTGTGTAACACCAGTCCTGAAGCAATGCACTGGTAGCTGAGGAAATGCCAGGCTCCATTCAAGGGGTTCACATTAAATGGCTTAGGAGCCAGGCGCTTAAAAGGACACTCTCCTTATATCACCCAATCAGTGCACTAAGGTCACCTGGATATATCTGGTTGTTAGTTTTCTACTCCACCTTTCCACCAGATGCTCAAGGTGGCTTCCATAGAGATTCCTCATCACATTCCCACAACAGATACCCTGTGAGATAGGCTGGGCTGGGAGAGAATGATTCAGGGAGGTGAACAGGTAAGTACTACTGCCCCCTCCCCAGTAGTAGAATATCTACATTTGCTTTCTTGTTGTTTTTCGGAGAAGAAATGGCAGAAGCGGGAAAGAAGAAGCCATCCTCAGCATCATGACTTCCAAGGCAAGTGGCGTAAGAGAATGAGAGGCCTGCAAGAAGAGGAAGCTGCCTTTTGGGAAAGATGAGCAAGAGAAGGAGAGATCTTGGGGAACAGCTGATTCCAGATTAAACTGTTTAAGAGGAAGCAAAAGCAGCAAAGGTCCGGGGGCAGGAAAATAGAGAGAATGGAAGGAAACACCATCATCTCCCCCCATAACCTGGTCCCACAGAGGCTTCTCTAGGTGGAAGAAGCCCCACAGGGCCTGCTCCCCCCACAGTCCCAACCGAGCTGTTGCAACGGAGGATCCGAACCCCTTCTAGGCCATCTCTGGCATCTCAGGCAGAGAGCCAAAGGCCCCAGAGCATCACAACCCAGCTCACAGCAAGCATCCCTCGAGGACACGGATCCCCAGTGTGGCCAGCACGGCTCAACATGGGGCCTTCAAGTTTCCCCTTCCAACCTGGGACTAAACAGTTGCTTCTAGAAAGCTCTCCAATAAGTCTCAAACATAGTGACAGATCTTCTCTTACTCAGAGGTAGAGGCTTCCCCAGCATGGAGGCTCTGCGGTCTACTTATCATTGCTGAGAGCTCTCACACAGGTCAGCGGTGCAAAAGTCACAGTTCGCAAGTATGGAGCGCTGCATACCAGCCTCCTCCCCCCGAAAACTGTCTCAATTCCAGCTCGCAGGGATGTTGTGCAATCACCTCCCATTTTGAAATGGTTTGGAATGCAAAGCTTCCATTTCAAAATCTCCAGTGACTTCAGCACAGAAGTACGACTGAAAGATCTCTCTTCCCATCAACCACCCGTCACAGGGGTCAAGTGGAATTTGCCTGAATATTTCTGACTTCTCCATAAAGGAAGTTCTGCTTTCCTAACTCCAGTTCTCTTTAATATATTTGTGGAAGCCAAGACAGCAACACACTTGGAAAGGAGACCACCCAGTGTTTCAATGGGGAATGTGCAAGTAGGCAGCTGAATCACAGCAGCTGAGGAACAGAAAGGGCAGCAGAAGCCCACTAAGATTTGAAGAAGACAAGGTAGCAGTATTATTATCCTCACCAGGTAGCTTTCTATTCCTAAATGTTTGTGCTTCGGTCGATTTCAGGTCATTATTATTATTTCTTTATATCTCCCACCCCACAGCTTGTCCCCGGAAAGGAATTGGCTGCAAGTTTCATACTAGGTGGGTTTTGGCAGCGTCAAGTGGGAAGATCATCAAGTATCAGGACATGGACTGGCTGGGGGGACATGAGACATTATTTATGAGTAGAAAATCGACTGCAAATTAGGACACTAATTCTGACTAAACCCCATGTTGCCAGCTACTCCATCAGTACTAGGAAGTGCCACTGTTCTTCTTGCCAACCAGAATAAAGGATGCTTGCAAATCAAGGACAGTCCCCGGCAGCAAAGCATGGCTCTCGCTTTGTTTCTCTTGCATGCGTGCAGCAGTGAATTCTGGCTTGTTGGCAAATGAACAGCATTCAGCTGGACGTGTTCAATCTCTTCTGCTGGGCTCCACCAATTTTTTTGCAGATAGGAGCACTTTCAGGGGCCTTATGACTTCAACAATTGGGAAAGGAAAGAAGCAGAATTCCTGGCTTCCATTTAACCAGTCTCTGGTGGAGCTATCTCAACTTGTGGGCCACACTTGTAAAACCATAATAAGCCTGCTGCTTGTTAGCAAGCATGTTATAAATGTTCACAACACGGACTAAGTAGGAGACCCAATTCAGTTCCATTATTTTCAACCAATAATTGAATTCTGCACAGACTAAAGATGACAAAATACTGTAAGTAATTTGCTGAACATTCAAGTCATGCAATTAAATGAGAAGCTGAAAAAAGAATTTGCAAAGTTTGAGGAGGGGGTTTGCATCAGCAAAATATGGCTGTAGAAGTCATTCTCTGCAGCTGGTTGTTTTGGGCAAACATCCTTAAAGCAGCCATTAACTTTGCAAAAGAATACTATTTAGGGGGAGAAACTGGATCCCAGAGGAGAATCCTTGCACATATACAGTGACAATTAATACATTAGACTGTCATAAAGTGGTTTATTTCATTTTAGTTAAATGAAATAAAATGAAACCAGCCATTATAATATATATTTATGTGAACCTGGCCAGCTACAGCTTAATCAGCAAACAATGGTTTACTGCAATACATGAACCACACCTTGATAGAACAAAAGGGTTTCTACTAGAGGCATGCAAAACATTCTGAAACCAAAATGTCCCAAACCAGAATGGATTTCTCCAACATTTTGTACATCTCTGATTTCTACTTAAGTTAGCATCAAAGGTAATTTTACAGCTAAGACCTTCCTTCACTTGGAATATGCAGATATATACACAAAGGTGTCATCCTACCAAAAGAAGGTGATATTTTCAAGCAGTAGATAATTCTCACTTTCCAAATCCATATATAAACTGGAATGCCATTTCATGTAGTATGTGCCCTTGTTAGAACTAACCTTGCAAGACAATTCTGATGGAAAACTACATGCAAAACTTGTATACTCCTGAAGATTTTATGCATAGAGAGAAGTGAAAATTCTAAATATAATCAAAATGCATTTTTACATGGGCTCATCCAAGCTGCATATAATGAGGAGTTTCGGACCCTTTCTTTCCTTTCCCTAAAAAACAGCCCCTAATGCTCCACCACGCCCCCTCCCAGTCTCAGCTTCTCAAAGGGGAACCCTCTATTTCCTCTCCTGGAAAGTTGGGCTAGGAAAGGAAACGATTAGGCAGCCCTTC